CCCCCTCCATATAAAATTAGGTCAAGGGGGCTAGCCCCCCTGAAACCCCCATACTCTTGACTCTTGGGGCCCAAACCGGTGAATAATAATTGGGGGTGGGAACTGCTGAAAAAGGGCCATTGTTTGCTTAAATTTTGATTTTTTCCTCAATGATTACCTGACAATTCAGGGTTTCTGGAGTTCAGCTTCGGACTTAAACTAAGTTAAACGAACGAAACTACAAAATCGTGGGAATTTGTTGTAGGCCTACCAACCTCTGTACTAATTGTTCCTTAAAAGTAAAGGGCGTTTATATTGAAGTAGGTACATTTTTACTTTCACTCCCACACAGTGATGCACTACTTCTGGGGTCAAACTTTCCTACTGTTTGCTGCAGATCACACATAATAAAACCACTCAAACTGTTGCAAATCAATTATTTTCAAGAAAATTTAAAATCTGTAAAATATCAAATTATGGGTTAAAACAGGGGAATGCACCCTGTAAGCACCCAGATTTTCTTTTACTCCCGGGGGGCAGGCCCACCAGGAACCCCCGATTGGTCCAAAGCATGTGTCTATCTCAATTATAGGAACAATCAAATATTTCAACAACTATTAATTTGCGACGGAAATGAAATAGATATTTGAGATCTAGTGTTCAGTGCATCAATATTTAGTAGAAAATGGACAACTGGTACTAAGTGTGAGACGGGAGGGTAGGCCTTTAAAAAAAAATACCTTGAAGGAGGCCTTTTAGTCACCACATGCAATAGAATAGGCTGTAGGCCCTTTGCCTTCACATTCACTGTTCACGGTCACACCACATGGACCCAAACACAGGCATAGTCTACAGACATTTTGGCACTTTTTCTGTAGTTCCCACCCCTCTTATTTTGGCCTATTTTATTCAAAATTAGCAGAATTGAGCTGGATTTAGTATTTTTTAGTTGTAGATCTAGGTAAAAATACTAGATCTTGTTCAAGGTTATCGATATAATAATTAAATATATATATCAAAATTACATAATTAAACACTACGTCTGGGAAATAGACTGTCGTCCAAACTGTCACCATTGTTGTTTTGGTCGGAAGTGGGAGTAAACTTGGCCAACCATTCTTTGATGATAACAAATAGGCCTATTGCCAAGTTGGAAAGTAAACCATTTTCCATGCCATTTAATTACTGTTACAAAGAAGCGTAAGTAGTTTTCATTCGTGTATTTGTATAGATCTAGTATTAAAGGAGATTCATAGTTGAAACCTCTTCAAATATTCGATCTAGGCCAATATCAGTACAGTTTTAGCTCGATTTATTCCTTTTTAACAGGAAAATAGGGGAATAATAATTGAGGGGGGGTGGGGGTGGGAATGACCGAAAAAGCACCGACATTTTTACTACTTTGGCGTCAAAACCTTGGACTTAGATAGCCCTAACTATAAAAACTGTTCTATAATTATCTGTTAAAAAATATTAACTGCAACAATTGTTCTATATATGCAAGTAGATCTAGTAAGTGCGAGTATATAATATAATTATAATTTTTTATATTGAAAGTGTAGGCTATAGATCTACAAGTCATGTGTGTCTGTTTGTGTGATGAATTGTTTGACTGACTGTTTTTTCTGGTAGTTTTCATTTTCAAGTTTCGCGAAATCACCCCCCCCCCCCCCCTCCTTCCACACACACACACACACACACACACACACACACACACACACACACCTCAAGTTCAAGACCTATACCTAAGGCTGAGTGTTCAGCAGGCTTAATGTCCAGTGCCCATTGGGGGAATTGACAAATCGATCCGCGATCGCCTGTTTCGCGGCCTGAAAACAAACGCGTGTTGTTTTTTAGGCTGCGAGTCAGGCGATCGGCTTTTGTGCCACGATGGTCGCTCTGCGCCCTCATGTGGCAAGCTCTGCTTACACAACCGAACCAAATGTGTCAATGGGCACCCATCAGTACGCAACTTGACTAGGCTATATAGGCTGTTCATCTAAAAAAGAAAATGTTTTTTTAGAATAACTTTGGATACAAAATTTCAGTATTATTATTATATCCCAAATTTTAACACTGAACTCTTTAGTTAATTTGTCTTACCAATTAGGTCAGCAGGGTTGGGTTGATTTAAATCAGGTCGATTTAAATCAGTTGATTTTTTCAATTTAAATCAACTTGATTGTTTAAATAAAAATCAGTGATTTAAATCACTTTAAAGAAATTTATTTTTATTCAGTTTTTACATTTAAACATTCAGAATTTTTTTCCTGGTTTTATAAAACAGATATAAGGTTTAGTAGACTATGATCTTGCTTAAAAGCTGCTTTCCCCGCTGTCACTGCAAAATAATACAGTAGGTATTCAATTTACTTTATTTTCATAATTGAAATCACAGTTGGGTTGATTTAAATCGGGTCGATTTAAATCAGTTAATTTTTTTTATTTAGATCAACTTGATTTTTAAAATAAAAATCAGTGATTTAATCAGTAGTCAATTTACTTTTATTTCATAATATAATTGAAATTAGCATTAAAATTTTTAAAAGACAAACACAAGCACGCACACACACACACACACACACACACACACACACACACACACACACACACACACACACACACACACACACACACACACACACACACACACACACACACACACACACACACACACACACACTCACGCACACACACACACTCACACACAGACTAAGGAAACGTCTAGATTTATTAACTAACTGTAAATATAATAATTTATTGAATGTCAGATCAAATCAGTTGTTACTAATGAGAATAAAAACATTAACAAATAAATCACAAAAGTGACAATGTAACAAAAATAATAATTCTGATATTATTGCAAGGAACAAAATGGCAACTGAAGGAATTGTGAAAGTAAATCACTTTCATACAATTTTAACAGTATTACAATAACCAACAATTTAGATTATTTATGTTGAAATTACCCATTGAGTTGTTTGAGGTTGAAGGTTTTGAAAAGAAACACGTAATACAGTATTCAATTTACTTTTTTTTCATAATTGAAATTAGCATTTTCTTTTTCTTTTAGACAAACACAAGCGCGCGCACACACATACTGTAATAAAATGCAAGTTTAACTATGTATAATTACCCCCCCCCCCCCCCCACCCCTCCCCTCTTCCTTTTAGACTGACATTTTCTTCATTTTTGTCTGTAGCCATGAATAATTCACTGATATAGCAGATTAAGGCTTTCTTTTGCTGTTGCTTAAATTAATCATTAGTTAAAATAAATTAAGACAATGCATTTTGCACTAAAAGAACATACTTTTAGCCACTAAAAATCCCAAACTGTCGACATAAAAATAAAAAAAATTTCGATTTAAATAAAAACAATCTGATTTAGATTTTAAAAATCGATTTTTAAAATTTTTATTAAAAAATTTTTTAAAGTCACTTACCCTGTAGGTCAGGAATAACGGGGATAATCTATTTTTTACCCCAATGATTAGTGTCTTACTCCTGCACCCATGCTAAGCCCCTTACAGCTACCCCCTACCCCAACTCTGAGCCCTAACCCTTAATTAAAGAAAGTGTCAATGTGTCACGACGTGGTAGAATCAGGTGCTCATCAATTTTTGGTCATGTTTTGTCATTGATATCATCTTAACTCTTTGAAGCTGCACCCACTTTCCCTTTCTCGATACCCTATGGCGCACTTTTTTGCCCTTTTTTACCACGTCACCGTTTTTTTCCTATCAACTGTACAAAAATCACACACATACACCACTAAAAAGTACAGTTTCTCTATTTGTCTCTAAACTAATCAATCGTACATTCTCACAATACCAGTTTTACCTTTATCAAGGCTGCAAGATCACTATAGTTGCCCTCAAAAGCAAACAAAAATTTGACAGGACTTTGGGGTCAGGTAAAACTACCCACCACTGGTACAGATTCATCATCTCTGTCATCTGAACTTTCTTCTTTTCACTCTAAATGTAACTCCTCATCTCTGCGATCATCCATAAACACTTCCAAAGTTTCTTCAGTCCGCATCAAAGCACGTCGCCTGGAGCTCGCTATTTTGGATAGAAACTGCTTTCCAATGATATATATGTATATGGG